GTTAACCAACACCGGACAGATCAAAGGCTTGTTCGCCTAGGTAATTTTCAACCCGCGATTTGACCCCAGACCGTGCACGGGGCAAACGGCACCATATGCCACTACATGAATTCCGTGCGGCTTCTACATATTACCAAGATGATTCAAAAACAAGAAATAAGAAGTTTCCGTAGCATTCCTTCCCACCGTACCCAAATTTGAGGCAAACAATTTTGAGATCTTGGTACATTTTCTCCAGGAGATATCACCGGGTTGCCCTGGGTGAACCGTTGAGTACTAGGGTTAGAGATGGACTACTCCCAGGCGGGTGAATTTGTTCCCCATACCGCAACTCGACCGAGAAACGATTCGCAGTGGAGCAACCACAGCTGTTTTTTCTTGTGCAAATTTGCGTAATGGAACGCGGCAATTGGTCCCACAACGATAATGATGCGGTAAAAATTTGAAAGTTGGTTCGGCGCCAATTGAGCAAATCGCTTTTGAACCGCAGGCTTTTTTCGGTCACGCATTCGCTTCGCATTTCTCTAGCTGTTCTGTGATTTGTTCTAATTGTGTCGCAGCATCTTATTCTTTTTCAATTCTACAAGTGGTTTTGTTATTTTCTATACGATTACTTTATTTTAATTAGTTTTCTCATGTAATTATTGATGATTTCAGTGTGTTGGGCATGAAAATTCCGCTATTTTGCCATTAGTTCGTTGAAAGCCTATTGCACATCATTTATTTATCATGGGAGCGTACCTCGATAAACCAGTAACTGAAAAGGAATCCGAAAGTGGCCAAGGAAATGGCTTGACATATGGCGCCACTTGTATGCAAGGATGGCGTGTAAAACAGGAGGTGAGTGATTTCCGATATTTTCGTGAAGCAAGGAATACCTTTCGGACTTTTCGCTGAAAAGTGAAAAGCTTTCAAAAATTCTTGCTCTTGGATGAAGTTGGTCAGGTCATTAGCATCTATTTATTTATTTATTTATTGCTTCAACAACTGTAGGATGTTTTTCACAGTAAGACATAGTAAGCTAAGCTAGCACCTTCACAATAGAAAAGTTATGGTTTTACATGTCAAAAAAATTGGAGGCGGATGGGGTCACGGGTTGAAAAGAAGAGTTGCTAATCATTAATGCTTATCACTACTTGTGGCCTGATACTATGTACCTATCATTTGGGTTACTGTACTGATATTGTAGAATTGAGCGCTCCTCAAATTAATCACCAGAGGTTGAGGACGCAATCGGGATCTGGGGGTAGGCAGCCGGTGACATTGTTTTAGATTCACGGAACTCAGTTTTAGGAGTAGGTCTCAGAGATGAAGAGCGGGCATTCAAGTGTGTCTCATCGGTCTCCTGGATTCTTCTTCATCTTCTTAGCTTAGTCCCATTCCCCACCCCTACCTTCCTACAGACCCTACCTCGGAGGCACGTTTCGCTGTGGTTGAGATTGGTCTGCTTTGATATAAATCTCTGAGTATGAGCTTTCAAATTTCTGGATGGGCTTGAAGCTAATTAGAAGGACTGGTCAACTTGTGGGAACTTTTGGGAAACATTCTTGTCATGTGGGGGTACCGGGTCTCATTTGGGAAGGGAAGTGGCCGTGTGGTGCGACAGTTATATCGCTTGAAGTATTCAATTTCTCCAAGAGTGAGTTCTAGTGGGTGTAAAAGCAAATTTGAAATGGTTCACGCACCGGGAGCCTTGTTCCCTTGCTAGAAATCAAATTTCTGTAGATAGCGGTTGTCGCACCCTCTCATCATATCAGAATTGATCACTTAGCATTATATTGAGGCCCACCCCTCATGTCCTCCCCCCTCCGTCTCCCAGTAGACTTCATGGCCCTTTTTCCACTCCCACATTCCTGCTCTCAGCGCTCTTGCACACATGCCACGTCTGTAGCCCATTTATCTGATTCGGTTATTGAGTGAAACTGAAACCAATATTTGCGAAACTGTTGAGCAGATCGCATGTTGTGAAATTTCTTCCCCCTGTGTCGTCGCCCTCTCCGTCCACACAGTACCGAGGGTACCTCTTTTTGAACTTGACTCATAGTGCTGGTGGCCTGGCCATGCTCTTCAACCACCCCGCCAAACTGGCGGTAGTTCCACTGCCGGAGGTGGACTTGTCCAAAAGGGGCCTTTTTAGCCTCGTTCGACACGTCGTTGTTCCGGCATTAATGAGGAGTTTTCATCAAGTGAGTTCACACCATCCCACCAATAACGGGGCAAGGGATGATGTTGTCTATATGCGCATTTACTTGTCTATTTGATAGTCGCAATCAATGAGATCGAGTCGTCGTCAGTGGGATCACCAAAAACTGCCCTAGTTTTTACTCCAACGAAAATTTGAGAGATAGAAACGTCCGCTTACTCTGCAAAATAAAGAAACCGTTCTAGAGAACTTTCACTTTTGAATTTGTTTGGGTTGGTTCCCTAACCTGAAAGAAAAAATATCGTTCTTTTTTGGTCGTAGCAGAGCCTTCAATCGTCTCCAAGACCTCAGTGGAGCAACATGTATTATTCACGAAATGAATTTGTACTTGAGCGACACAATTGTGTGTTACTGGTAGTCATGCTCTAAATCTGTGCATTCTAAATTTTGTAGTCATATTTTCCGCTGTAATTTGAGTGGAGAGCTGCACTGTGCATGCCACATTGAACCCAACGCTCTTCGAAACACATTTTTTTTTACTAACCTTAAATTTTTTTCACTAACCTCGGTTCGACCTCGATCCTGCTTTCTCTCTTGTGATTTCGGTGAGGTAGTCAAATTTTCTAGTGCAAATTTGGAATTATAAGTCTGTTGCTTGATGCACTTTTTTTGGGGAAGTGTAGTTGGGGAGTAATTATCACCGCGTTACAATAGTTCGTCCCGGCAAGAGTTATCCCACTTTTTGGAGGGGGACGCTACGGACTGGTAAACCAGTTCGTTTTTGCAAGAAGGGCCTAAGTCAATGTGGAAATGATAGTGTTTATCATAGTTTTGAACGCCTTTGCTGATCTGCGCCACTACGCCATTTGAGCCATCTTCGCCAGTGGTTAGTGAGAGGAAGGAAGTCACAGAGCTTATTTATTCTTTTTTATGTTTGTTGTTTATTTGCTTTATACACCTTGACGAACCCAATGTGTGAAACTTCTCAAACAGCGCGAAAAAATGTTTATTTTCGCGCTGTATGAGAAGTTTTTTTTTCAACTGTTATCGATTTCAGGACGCCCATAATTGTATCATTGAGTTAAACGGTGATTGGAGTATGTTTGCCGTTTATGATGGTCATGGCGGCGATGAAGTGTCTAAATATACAGCTATGAAATTTCCTGACTTTTTAAAGGAAAGGTAATCTCAATTTACTTTCTCGTCTGCTCTTTTTTTATACTTTCTGAGTGATGTCGTGTCATTAGAACCCAAAACTATGCTTCGTCCTGTTGGTAAGGTGCTCCTGGCTAGATACCACTGCAAACAATGGCTTTGCAGCTTCCCATTCATAAGTGCCTCTGCCCGAAAAAAGAATGTGCGTCTGGGGTTGTGGTAAAAAGGATTGGGGTGAGCCCACTAATCTATTTTTAGCTCACTGCCCTGTTAGGTCCGTTAGTTTTGCTACTTAGGCGGTGTTGGTCTGTGCTTATTTTTGAATATATAAATGCACTACAAAACAGTTTTTCATGGAATTTATCTCTGAGAGGTATTTTTTCTGTTGAAGCCAAGACTTTGTGGTACTCTCCGCCGCTAGATTGCATTGAACGCCATCGCCGCAAATGTGGCAATCAATTCAAGTCGTGTCTATGAATCTAAATGCCTATTGAAACCGGGGCGAAAAAGCCTTTCCGATATTTCTAGTCAATATCATACGCGAACAAAGCGTTTGTTGCGCCATTAGATGAGATGATAGCATCAGCCCTGAGAGGGAGGGGGAAGAGAACTGAATAAAAGAAGTCTGATCCTTCTGGTAGATCTTTATGTTACTCGTCTGGGAACTCCCCGTGGAGCATCGAAATCATTTACACTCCTTTATCTTGTTTCTCACATGCTGCCCACGGTGGACTTCTTAATCGTCATCCTCTCGAGCCCTTCAAAGGTGTTTTCGCGGCGAAAGATGAATTTGTTGCGGCGCAGTGAGGATTCAAACCTAATAACCGTAACGTCCAGATGCCGTCTTGCAGTGTATTGCCACTAGCAGCACCGTCCAGCTTCTTTATTTTGGAAGAACACTTCCTTTTGGCGGCCTTTAATTTTGTCTGTGTGATACGTTATCAATCAAAACACGTTATTGGCATGGTTTCGGCTGTCGAGCTTAGGACGTCCAAACGACCTCCTTTTTGGTCCGTGGCTTGTCCATAGTTGAAAACCAACACGGAATTGTTTCATAAGAATGCTGGGTTATGAACAAAACTAAAACTTAGCAATGCGAACTGCGGCGTTACAGCAGTTAGCAAACGAAGCATGTCACAAATCAATACGCAAAGTTTTTCGTATCGTTCTTGTTCAAAATTGCTATCTTTCAGAGAGTTTTGGGCAAGCGATGACCTTGTACCCACATTACAACAAATATTTGTTGATTTTGACGATGTACTACGATCAGAAGATGTTATGAAGGAATTAAAGGTGTGTTCGTTCCCGTTCATAGTTGTGAAGCACTGTTCGAGCTTGAGTTTTCATGTTAGTTTCTCTTTTTCCACACTTCTGCTTAAATTCGTAAATTTCAGAGAATGGCCAAGGAAAGTGAAGATGTTCCTGATAGAGATGATGACTGCGATAATAGCTCAGATGAATGTGACAGAATACAAACAATTGAAGAAAGTGCCATGCCATTAGAAGAAATTCTGTCTAGGTTGGTTCGCGCATCGGTTAAGTATTGAAGTTCTGCTCGCGCCTACGCTGGGTTTTCTCGCTCCACCAGGTGCGCCGTTTGTGCTTTTGCATCCTATGTATAAGTCATTTATGGATGCTTAATGAAGATTTTGTGCTCATAAGATCTCCTATATGACTATTTTAGTACTTGCGAAGATGTTTCTCAACTCATGTAATTTCCTTTTGCTAATCGTTTTCGCCTTTGAAACCAGTCTTTTGTATGTCCTCTTGGCTGTAAATTAAGTGACCAAGTACCGCCATTATTCGTAGGTGTCTCGAGTAAGGCGTAGGTGTAGTGATTGTCAATGGCTACCTATTCTGTAACAGCAGGAATGTGCTTCATTTTGTTGTTTTTCTTTCCGCCGGCACCTGATTTTCCTCAGACATCTCGACCGCACTGTTTAAGACATGGTCCTGGGTTGGCTTGCTGACGGCAGACTCTATCACGTCATCGATACCGAAATAAATTCACGGAAAGATTGAAAATCCGACAAGATTGGCCAAATTTTGGCGTAGGCGTAATTCGCTTCACACTTCCTGTTCCCAACTAAAAATTAATATGGTCTCATAGAAGGTGTAATACTTTGCTGTTTGGAAACCACTTGCGAAGTGATCGGCCCACATTGTGCTGCTTGTTTTTAGTTTGGTTTGTCTAATACTTTCAGCTTAAACATATTAGCTAAAATCACCAATGCACCTCAGAGACGCTCACACTCCATCATTTAGGAAATTCGAAACCTTTGGTTTGATCTAATTTACACGCCTCCATCCTTTTCCGCCAGATCCCCTCATTACAGCGAAGGTGTGAGACTTCAGCGAAAAGGGTTATGTGAGTACCAGTCACGATAGCCAAATTTCCGACAACGTTTAGAGGGTAAAAAGATCATTCGATGCGTTTAGTAACCTTTCCGCGAAGTCGCCGATTCCGACAAGTCGTCGCCGTTTTCGCGACGAGAATGGTGTGTGCACATCCCTTTTAACGAAGATTTACCAAAACATGAGGTGTAAGCGCGGTCTTGTCTTCAAGAGCTTGTCTCCGGAGTCTTCCCGCTCCAAAAGTTCCTGCTTATTTTTTCTCCTGAACGCTAACCCTATTTTGTGATAAAACGTTGATGTAGTTTTGAAGTGACTGTTTTGTTTCCAGATTCTATAGGCAAGGATATGTTATAGGACGGAATCTTTCAAAAGGCAAGCCTACAGCCGAGGTGAATGGGGTAATCTTATTTTACATATAGTTACTTGTTTAGTATAATCTTTGATTTTGATCGTTCTCAAGATCACGTTTGTCAAATGAGAAATGATTGTAGAAAGTCTGCTGTAACAATGAGGAACCAGAATGCGGTGAAGATAAATGCCCGAAAGGCAAACGACAAAGCCGATCACCGACACAAGAACCAGCCAAGCGTGCCAAAACCGAGGGAAATGGTTAGTTGTATGATTTACGCTTGATGGGCGCTTTGTGGTGGGGTAGGGAGGGTGGTTGCTATTTTAGCCAGCTCCGCGACAGGAAATTTCTAGGAAGTTCCATGGTTTTTAACATATTAATGTGTTATCCATAGCTGTAAATTAAAATAGAACTTTTTTGAAGTTTTTTTGCCCCCTCTTAATTAAAATAATTGCGACATTGGGGATCCTGAACATGTTGTATGGGTGTCACTATTGTGTAGTCTATGGCTTTAAACGATGTTGAGCAGTCACGAGCCAGCCAGATGATCGTGGGAATCATCCCGTATGATAGGTCCTTTTACAAGATCAACGGAACAATTTGCTGTCAAGCTAGAAGTCCTTCTGTACAAAAATTTCTCCCTTCGTTTTGGTCAGTAGTTCCTCCAAATCGCGCGCCCGGTGCCGTGTTGACTTTTGAGTCCGGTTCGAGACAGCTCCACTATATCAAACAGTTATTGAAAGTGATAAAGATAATCCACTTAGGAAGTATATTGAACATGCTGATCAATACAGATGGCGAAGGGGACACCGTCAGCACTGAGGTGAATGCCAGTGAGAGTGCAGATTCGATCGCCCCAGTGAAGGAGGCTCCCAACGAGCCAGCGGTCGAGAGGTATGGAAAGTTTTTGTTGATCCGAAAGGTGGTGCAAGTTGTACATTGCCTTTTTTCAAGCAACACGAATAACTCGAACAATGAGGATCATGCAGCAGCAGATGAGCATAAAGCCGTAGAAGGAAATGGGCAGACTCCGCCAATAATTAAAACGAAACAGAAAAAAGTGCCAGTGAATGCCGATAAAAAAGCTGACGATGGCATCGCGTGAGATATTCTGGTATTTATTTGTTCATTTTAGGTTTTCGCTTGACTAGTAGTAATTAGGAGTTCAAATGGTAACGTTGGGGTTGTTTTGAATTGTGCGGGTTCCGTATAGATTAGGTAGTTCGAAAGTAGCAAACTATAGAAGCGAACCCGGAAATGTGTGATTGATTTTTTTTTTGATGGATGATTTTTGTTTTCCGGAGATCACTTCAAGGAATCATTCGAAGTTTCCGAAATTTACCAAAAAGGCTCAAGAAAAGTGTCGTTCAGTAAGTAGCCGTGCATTTAATTTGCCAAAAATCATTTGATTTTGATTTTTCTACTTCTATAATAGTTATCGTTACCTAGGCTCGGTTTTTCTTGACATGTGCAGAGTGTTCAGCAAGTATTGTGCTCACTCAGTCAGAAGAACCAATAACATTTTCAACAACTTCACCCAGTGTCGCAAGATTTACAGTGGCATTGGATTTAATGTTGATACATGTTTCTTTTCATCAATGTACTTGACTTAGAGGTCTTCAAGTCTAGAAAGTAGAATTTATCGGCTTTCGGGTTTCATTTTTTGAAGATTCTGTTTCGACTTCCTATCCAATGAGCAGCCTGATCAGGCATCAGGCCCCAACTAAGTAGGAGCAGAATGAACACGGGTAGAAAATAGCTCTTATTCTTCTAGGTGGCACCCAACTACTATTGAATAGACTGCTTTTGGCAATTTACTTGTTTATTAATGCTAGATGCTTTCTTCTATATAACTGATTTTTTGCCCATTATTTCCTTTAGATAGGAATTTTCAATGAAGTTTTGATCTATAAAACGAAGATTAGACAGAAATATCCGGAACGCTTTGAACTCGTTTTTCAAGACACTGCGTAAATAGATTGCATTTTAAGGGATGATGACGAATCCGAGGACGATTCTGACTTCAACGAAGCCGAAGAAGAAGCAGAAGATGAGGAATGTGAAGATGAGGAAGAGAATGAGTCGGATGACGACGGTGATGTGAGTTTCAAAGACTTCAAGCAGTTTTTAGTTTTTAGTTAGGAATCATTCGGAGCCTAATTTCTTCTCATATTTGCCTTTTTTTCTGAGACTATGCACTATAGT